TTTTTGCCCCACAATGAAAGCATAGTGCCAGTATTTAAGTAGGCATACAGTATAATTACAAAGTAGCCTTGCACTGATCCTGCTTAAAATCTATACCAGCTCCATGGAAATTTGTATAGCACAGTATTTATTCACCATAGAACAAATCCTAACCCAGGACTTTAAAAACTATGAAAAAATATTTTACAGTAGCAGCTAAAAGCAAACCCCACCATGACTGCTGTCAGCATTTAATTCAAACAATCAAAAAGCTACAATGGAACTATATGTGAATTTTGGTAGCCAGCAGATACAATCCCACCCTGAAATATCTTGGTAGGACATGAGACTGAAGCCTCATATACTACCAGCACATGAAAAATATCAATAAAATAAAGATGTGTGTAAATCTCATCCAGAACCTGGCAGGAATGACCTGGACAGCAGATACAAAAATTCTGTGGACCTCTTTACCAGTACTTGTTTACTCGACAAGATATTGGTCACATGTCTAGATGCACATCTCCCAAACATCACTCATTGATTCTCAACTTAACACTGCTATGTGGCTAGTTATGGCACAATAAAATCAATACATAACTGTGGCTTCCCATGATACTCTTACTTTGTTGCAGCATCAGAATTATTCAATTCAATGGAACAAAGATCTTTCAAGATATGAGGACCTAAATCATATACCAAGATTGCCAGTGAACCCTATTAAACCTTTTGACTTGCAGGCTTGAGGTTTTCAGTGATAAGCAAGGTGGAAGGTAACATCCTGAACAAAACATCTCCTCAGGGACCCAACTAAAGAACGTAGTGGCTTTTCCCTTCCATAGAAAATGTGGGAGGTCCACTTTGAATCCCATCTGTACATCACATGGCAGGTGCACATACCTCCTCTATAAAGCATACTGAGACCCAATCCAGTTTGTGACTGCGGAAACAGATTTGAAACTATGGAACACCTTGTGTCAACCAAATAGTGTTCCAAGTAATCATGTCCTGGTCATATCTCTGACACCCATTCTGCAAAACCTGAAGCAATCAATTTGATTATCATCATAGACTTGACATATAACATTGTTGGTGTTAAGCTATACAAAAGAAATAGCTTTTTCCCCAGCAAAAACAGGTTGCCAGTTCTAACTAGAACATATACATTGGTTGGAATATTGCGAGCCATGGAAAGATTTATTTCTGGGTTACAATTTTCCTATATAAAAATCAAAAACACAACTAGGGCTGAGTAGCTTAGTTCTATGCAGTTCTTATTTAAAATAAGCACTATTGCAACAGCTACGATTAAGGCTGTATACAAACTTACATTATAATGCCCTGTTATTATCTGCCTGTAATGTTGTTCTTTAGTTTGCTTTAGAGTTAAAACATTCCATGCTTTGAGTGCAAAAGCTCCTCAGAAAAGATGAAATACATTCATTCAGTAGCTTTTTAGTGACCTAAGCAAATAATGTTAAAGCTACCTATGTTTTTTTCTTAAATTGAGGCTTTTTGCACATGCATTAGTTCAATGCTAAAATGCTAAGTTATTAAATGTCAACATTTTAGGAATAATCTAGAAAATAGGAATAATCAAGTACATTTCAAATATGAAGATGAGTAAGGCTACAGTTTGGTCACATCAAGGTGGTCACAGAACCTGAATTTTAATTCACCCCCAAACCTACAAGTGTTGTGCCCTAATGCCACACTACCATTTGGGATTGGTATGGAGCCGGAGAGGGAGGAGCAGGAGACAAATTTGTGCTGTGTTGAAATGCAAATCTTATTTGGTTCCTCAGCCCCTTCCATCTCCATCAGCATAGGTGTGTATAGCTCAATTAGAGTGGTGCTGCGAACCCACGTGCTAGATAACAATGCCCAGAGCAGAGAGCCAAGCCTAACCCCAGGAGACAAGAGCCATGGCTGCAGGGTGAGCTCATTCACCAACACTGTACACGTCCGCACTCCTCTGCTTTCACTGACAAAGATTTTGCAGCAGCCAAAATGGTTATTAAAAATTTCCATGAGAAAATTGTAGCCCAACTTATGAGCCATTAAAAAGGGGATCTGGACAGATAATGTGCACGGTAAATTACTAAGCACTGGTCTTCCTGGGATGTGAAAAATCCACACAAGACCTAGCTATGTCAATCTAATCCCTGCTGAAGGCAGTGCTAGGTCAATTCTTCCACCAAACTAGCTCTGACCTCTTGGGCTATGTCTAGACTGCAGGCTTTTTGCACAAGAAGCTTTTTGCGGAAGAGATCTTCTGCAAAAAATTATTGCGCAAAAGTGTGTCCACACTACAAAAGCAATGTACTTTTGCGCAAAAAGAGCGTCCACGCTACATGGGAACTCTAGTACAAGAAAGCTCTGATGGCCATTAACAGAATGGCCATCAGAGCACCTGTACTTTTTCCGATAGGCTCTTTTTGTGCAAGAAACCCCTGTTGAGTGTCCACATGCACCTTTTTGTGCAAGAACTCTTGCGCAAAAAGGAGTTATTCCTCGTAGAAAGAGGTATACCTACACTGCAAAAAGCCCTCTGTTCTGTCATTCTACTGTAAATTGTACAAAAACGTGCTTGAGGTATGGACACTCCACCGGTTTTTGCACAAAAGCCTTGGAGTGCTGGATTGCCTATGCTGATGGGAGAATCCCTCCTGTCAGCATAGGTAATGTCTACTACATGGAAGCACTACAACGGTGTAGCTGAAGCAGCAGTATAAGTGAAGGCACTGTACGTTTTCTTTCAAAGTTATACAGCTCTGTAGAGCTAGTTAATACCAAATGTATAACTAGAGAGTGATTGCATGTAAAATAGATGTGAGCCACATTCTCTAAAATACAAAGCAAAATGCAAACCAAACTATAGCATACAATTTTAAGGAAGCCATGTAATATAAATGTTGAGGCACTGTTTAGAAGTATTTTTTGCTTAGTCATCCGACTGTTAAAGGAAATGTTTGTCAGTCACAGTGAATGCGTCTCTGGCACCACTGCAAATGGTGAAATTTGCAAATATGGCTCCTGGCCCCCATGGTGAGCTCCCAATGGCTCCTGAACTCACCCCAGAGATACGAGCTGTGGGGGAATCACCACCAGGGCTGGGAGCCGCAGAGAACTCACTCCCAGCTCCCACCTCCCACTCCCCAGGCTGGGACAGGAAACTCCTGCAAATACACGGCGCCGCAAATAGCAATTCTGCAAATCACATGGGTATCCTGTAAAACTTTAACCTTGATATGCTATGTCAGAGTTGTTTGAAGTGTTGTTTTAGTTGTATTGAGCCCAAGATATGACAAAGTGAATAAGGTAATATATTTTGGGACCAACTTCTGTTGGTAGAGAAGACAAACTTTTGTGCTTTAGAGCTCTTCAGGTCTGGAAAGATAACCAGAGCAGAGCATCACGTTTAAAAATTGTTGTAATGAGTCATAAAACCAGCAAGTATCCTTTTTGAGGACAGGTCTATATTTAAACACCTACACCCTTGAGGTGCTTTAGTAAAGCTTGTCCTTAGGGTGTAGTTAATCCACCTCTGCCAGTGGGGGGCTAACATAACACTGGCTACATTAAGGGGTATGGATTTTTCATATTCTGCAGTAACATGTAGGTTTATAGTGGCCTGAATGAAGATTCTCAGTAGCATTAGCTTTTACATTTCTTGAGTTGTTTATACTTACATTACATTGAATTCGTTAAGCTTTTAGTAAGGCTTAATGATTTAAATTTACTGGTAAGTAAACATGCCAGGACTCCTTAAATACTCATTTGATAGCATCATTTCACTATATGCAAATTATCCAAACATTGGCCTATCCAATTCATTTCCCCCCACCTAGTTACAACATATTGAAGCAGGTGATCTTTTGAATTAAATAATAGAAACAAGTTCAGCACACGTTAACTCTTTTTAAAATAATTTACCATGCAGGAAGAGTACCACACTTTTTCAATGGATAGGTTAGGAAATAGAATTATGTGCCATCTTGAAGCTTCCTCTTTTTCTTCTTCATTCCCAGACCACCTTAGAAGTTCTGATTAAAAGACTGAATACTGCGCACATTAGAACTTAGTACTATGGGAGTCAGCAAGAACCACTCATTTGTAGCAACAAAAGGTGATTCTTCCCTCCTTGCCTGTTGCCAGTCCTGATCTAATTCACTATTATCATGCTGTCATCATTTTTGTTCAAGAAATGAGTAACATTAATATTGGAGATGATAAGGAATGGAAAGAACTCCTTTGGCCCTTCTGGTACAGGATTACTTTTCTGTATGTTTTCCAGTCCATGCAGGGTTTGTGTATGCCCTAAACAACAAAGACTGCTCCACTTCCTTTGCTGAGGCTACACTATATCTATTCAACTAGTATTGTTCTTTGTTACTCCTAAGTATGTCTTTGCCCTCTTCAGATACTTATGTTTCCCCACTCATTCCATTTACAGTAGTAGTATAGCTAAGCTACACCTCTGTTCTTTTACATTTTTATGTCCGTCTGACACTTCTTCCATCTCTTTAATCATTTGTGTTTTACTTGAATTTACACTAGTTTCCCTCCCCCTCCCCCCGGTGTTGAGGTACCATAAACTGAATACATTTTTAGTTCTGATGAATACTGCTGTTGGAAACGGCAATTGGCTACGTTAGTTCTGCTCTGTCTTACACTCTCTTGCAATCTAGTTGCAAGAATCACTCAGCTTCATTAAGTCTACTCTTTTCAATCCTAAAACAGTGCTTAGTGCATATTAATGTATGTTCCTGGAGCAGATTTTGACATTACACTAATGAATTCAGTAGTTATTTGATAGTAGCTATAGAGAACACAAAGCTTCCCATTTCTATTGGATCCAAAGACCACTGGAATCTTTCCATTAAGTTCAGTGAACTTTGTAGTGTACACAGGCAACTAGTCTTCACTGCAGTGGATGAAACTGCTTGCAAGAGTAAATACTGCTCATGAGTAGCAGTTAAGGCCCTACATAGTTTTCAAAAGGATTAATAAATTAAACATCATTAGAAAGGGGTTTTTATTCATATCTTACAAAACAAAGCTCCACAACATGAACTAAACTAGATATAGTAATTTCAGAATTAAACTTTGTTTTCTAAAAACAGTATCACTACACGATAAAACTTGCTTTACAACTAACTCAAGTCTCATCTTTTGCATACAAAATATGCTTTTTACATTGAAATACACATTAACAAAGCAGGAACTAGAAGCTGGAATTATCATATGCTAAGATTTCTCAGTGAAAAATGCCTCAGCAGGGAAATACTCCCACTCTCCCACCCCTCACCCTGCAACAGAACATCTGTTGACTATGTATTTTCACAGAAACTTAAACTGATGGGAAACTTTCTACTGAAATTCCCTTTAAGGAAAAAAAAATCCATAACAAAAGCATGTCCAACATAGCTCAAATTCTGCTATGAAATAACATCAGAATATGCCTTTTTCTTGCACTGAGAGCTGTAGGTTATATTACAAATAAAATGTTTTTTAAAAGCCATCCAAAGCTAAACATTGCATTTGGAAAAATCAAATATTATTCTGTTAGTTGCTTCACAGTTGGTTTATTTTAAATATTAACTGAGACCATTAATCTCCTACCCACATCTTCAATCCAATATCTGAAGGATCACTGAACAGAAAATCCTCAGACGTCTGTATTAAGAGTATGATAAATAGTGCATGTTTAAAATTGTACAACAGTTTTATAAAATATTTCATAACAATAAAAAGTAACAAAGTTAATGTTTTCCAAATATAGAGCTTAACCTGTGGAAAAGCTTCAACTCATATCCTGAACTTTCCTTGTTAATACAAATTAAAAAGCTAAACAGCTTCTTATAAAATGATATACAGATTTGTTTTTAAAGTTAGTGCAGATAAGCACATTTAGAATTCTCTATGAAAGTTTTACTAATCTAGGGCCTGATCCTACAAATCCTTTGTGACTTGTATTTCTTATTGACTTTTGTAAGAATAAAGCTTATTTGTGAGAATAAAGTTTGCAGGATCACATCCATAAGCAGCTTTGCAATATTAATTGTGCTCTTTTATTTTACATTCTAGTAAATATTAGACTATGTACAATTTAGTACAAAATTATGAAAAACTACCATTTTAATAAAACCAAAATGAACCTTCCAAACATACTTAGTAGTTTGAAGGAAATAAGTGTTATCAAATCACTGTTTGGCACAACAGAAAACACAGCAATATGCTTTCTAAGTAACGTACAGTCCCAATTCTAAAACTGAGTGTGCCTGGAGCACCAATGAAGTTAGTGGGGTCCACCCCACAGACTCTAGTGTAAGATCAGGGTTTGAATGCCAAATTCTGCAGAGTATGGAGCTACTTGTATGAGACAAGCAACATTTGGTTATAATTGTTACATGTTTTTAAGAGTTAATGTTTCAATTCTCTACTCCTCTCTTTTATAATTTCCTTGGGTACTTTGCTGAAGTGAATACAATTTATTAACATCCAATAGCATCAAAATATGCCATGTAGGGTCCACAAGTTTTCAAATTTTCATACTACTGTTTAGTAGTCCCCACTATTTATTGTCATGTGAATCATTTCCCAGCTTCCAATGAAGGCTCCCTTTGCAATTGAGTTAGGCAGGCATCCTCTTATTTCTAGTCACTTCTGTAGGTGCCCTGGTACATCTTTGTAGTGCATGGACCAGGTTGGGAACAATTTTGCTAGAGTTCCAAGGCATGGTTTTTACATACATGTTGATTCAAGTACTGAATGGTTTTAGGGGATACTAATGCAAGCTCTAGACCTAAGCATCAAAACAAGAATAGTGATATGAAGGATAAAAACTCTAAAATTTTTGTAGAATTTGGAATTACAGGCTTTGCCATGGACTTAAAAGGGAATAGTCTCACACAGCAAATGTCTGTATATTTTCAATCAGCAAGCAGTTGCAATATGCAACTTCTACTACCCAATATTAAAACTAATGTATGATGTGTCACAATTCCAAATGAGAATAGCTGGTTTAATCCTAAACATGTAGATTTAATGGCTTCCCCAAAGTCCCAAAAAACTTTAGAAAAAAAACTATGTTATCTGGTATAGCACAGTATCAAATGTTTTCCTTTGGGGCTAATCAGACAATTAGTTTTTCTAATAGTCTAACAGTAATAATTGCATTTTGTTTTATGTACAATACTCATGCCTCAGCTGATGTTAGATTGAAACAAAGTACACGGATATTTGTCCAATACAATTATGACCTATTCAGAATGTATTTTTTCCCAAACTCTATTGTTTGTAAAAAAAAATTGCAGTTTATAGAACCTGTACAAAAGCAACAGCTTCTCCTCAACTAGATTAGTTCATTCAGCATTTAGTGCAATCTTCAAAATGAAAACAGATATTCAAGTGTATGATTCCAGATATCTAGGTCTCTGTTTATGCACAAACATTTTATAACTATAGATTTGTTCTCTTTGTGAAGTGTAATTTTAAAAAGCAATTCTAAAAAAAATTAGTAAATTTTGATTATGTTAAAATGTATAGTAGTTAAGCAATTGTATTCTCCAAATATTCTTAAGTTTATTTATGCAAAAACTTAAGTGTTTTATAAAAAAGTCAACTGAAGTCAATGGATTTTGGATCAAACTCATAGCCAGGAAGTTCACCTCTGATATTAACTAGTGATTTATTGTAAAGACCACTTCTGAATTGGCAGGGGGTGAATTATATGGCCTATTAGCCTTTTTCTGTTTTTAACTTCTGCAATCATAAACACTACACTCAATCAGCCACAATGAAATAACATACCTACACAAATCATTGGCTATTATAAGGATGAAAAATAGTCTTATACTAGACAAATGTAGAGCCATGCACTCAAGTCCCAAACTTCTAATTAAATAATAGTGAAAAATTCCCAGTATCACAACTCTTCTGGCAAAGCCTGGTCTCCAAGGCCCTGATCCAAAGCCCACCAAAATAAACAAGTCTTTCAGTTGACTTCAACAGATTTTGGATCTTGCTCCAGAACAACAGAAATTTCTGGACAGATCCCTACATCTGCCATTCAGATGTCCCCAGGGGAAAATCCCCCCAAATCCCCATTTTAAAGTCTTGCCCTATTGTGCACAAAACATGGACTCTTTATCTTGGATGTCCATGTTCACAAGGATAGTATATTTAAAAAAACAAAAACAAAAAACTTGTCTTATGACAAATAGTACAAAATGAAATAAAGTCAAAGTGCATTGCAAAATACAGTGAAAGTTATTCACTCTTCTGAAATGTGATAAATTCAGGTGTTTAAATATCTAGTGCTTTCATGGAACTTTGCAAGGATGTTTTATTCAGATTCTTATTAAAGTGCCCATTCCATTAGTAGGTGCTTTTACAATGATCAAGATTTACTATATAAAAAAGTTAACCCATACAGGGGACGGCATGTACATCTTCAGAAACAATATTAATCACAGATTCACACTGTAGTCTCCAATATTCCTATGCCTGTCTTCCCGCACAAACAATGCGGGGGTGGTGGAGAGAGGTGGTCTTTTAAGCAGGTCCAGAAGGGTAACAAACTCAGACTCTGGTAGACCAGTGGCACATTATTCCATGTCAGTTGTAATGTGTATACACCAGCATGTGTAACTTCCAAACATATAGGCAACCTAGCAAGATAGTTAATTAAAATATGACTTTTTTTCCCACTTGAGTTCTTTTATTTATATATATATATATATATATATATATATATAACTCAAGTAGGAATGTCTTGACCATTTTGAAAATGAAAACAGTCCTCAAGCAAAACTGCCTACTTTCTATTTCTTATTGGGGGGGGGGGGGGGGGGGGGGTGGGGTGGTGTGGTGGGTGCGTGTGCACGCGTGCGTGTGTGTACCTTCTAGTTTTCTTCCCATCTATAATCTATTTCTTACAAAAACAAAACAGAGCAAAAATAGAGCAGTTTAAAGGCCTAACACAAAATAATTCAGAATTTACTAAAAATCTGATATCTTGGTCAGATGAAACTGACACATTTTATATTCAAATTGTATGTATGCACAAAAGTTTATTCTTTACTGACAGCAATTATTTTATCCATTCTCGTCAGCAGTTACTTTATAAGTAGAAATATGGTTTCCATATTAACATACATTTCATATTATCATCAACTTTTAGCATATTTTAGATACCAAGATCTCTTTTGTTGTTTAATACCTAATCGGATGATTGCAACCTACGTTTAAATGACACAATCTGGATTGGTATTTGTAGAATGTATTTTTCCTGGATTTTAAGTGCAAGAAATTTAAATGTAACAAACATAAAACATATTATTGCAGGCCAATCCTCAGAGTGACCAAACTTCCTTCTCCATGAGTAAAACATCCCTGGCATATTTTATGGACAGGAACATGGAAAGAATTTTGCTTCCACTGTCAATTTATTAATTAGATTTTTTTTTTAGTTGGGGATGAGCACGATATCCTTCAGCAAATATGAAATACATTAAAAAAAACTAAATGAAAACACATTTTCAGTCAATGTTGGTTATGTTGACCTCTTGCAAAATGGCAAGCAAAATCATACTTATTTTTACATTTACACCCACATATGTTGCACTGAAAAGGATTTTCAAACCCATGACATCCCATGTGAATAGTATAAAGGATATTGTCTGCAAAATACATGTCACAGTGCTGGCAGTGATGCAGAAGCTGAGGATCCTGAACTGGAAGGGTTGGAGCCGGAGTACTTGGCTGACTGTTACTTATGCTAGGAGTACTAGTATGGCCACTGCGATCACTGCTTGGACCTGCCACTGGACTGTAGTTCCTTTGACTGTGTGGCGGCCGAGAATCCGGGCTAGTAGGAGATGAACTTTGAGGAATATTTGTTGACACAGATGAAACTACTGCTGGTGCAGTAGGCTGCTGTATCATAAAAGGCTTTTCATCTTGGCATGGTACAACATCAGGAGATGCTGGGTTTTGGTTTTCAGGTGGTAAGCTAGACAACTGTCCTGCTAATGTTGATAGCTGATTTAATGGATTGTCTACCATAAGGTCGTGTGGCTCTCGTGGCAGACCACTAGTCTGTGTTGTTTTTGTCATGGTATCATATGCTTCAGTTTGAATATTTGGGATTTCATGGGTGAAATCATTAAGATAGTCTGGTTTCTGAACTACCATGGAAGGTGGACTCAAATTAATTAGTGATCTTCTGCTGTAGCCCAGATTGCTGGTCTTCTTCTGCAAAACCCCCCACATTTTCTTGCTACTTAGGGAAGACCTAGTACCTTTTATAGGTACCATTTTATGCTTGCGTCTACGATGATGAGACAGGTTACTTCTGTCACTGCAGCGGAAGGAACACAATTCACATTTGTATGGTTTTTCACCAGTATGTGATCGCATGTGCGCTTCTAAATGACGTTCATAGGCTGATGCAAATGGACATAGATGGCATCTGTGTGGCTTTTCACCTGAAAGAGAGAAAGAGAGAGAATTCAAGAGCAACAATTTAACAGACCATGGAAGGGATAGAGCATTTCACTTTGTAAATTAACAGTTCAAATCCAGTCCAACCTACTGCTAATGGAAAGTTGCTAGGTATAAATGAAATGAGTTTAGAGGTCCCATCCTGTTCTCAGTGGGCAAGTGTGAACATTAGAAAAGCAACCACTCTCACTATAACTGGCACTAACTGAGACCTTTGTTGGAATGTTGTCAAGGTAGGAATGGTATTCAGTCTGAATAATACTCACATATCTACAGGTGTTTTGTCCAAAATGGGTTTCAGGCATGTAGGTAAGATGGCACAGCAAAGCTTGCAGTAGGGAAATTAAAATGCATTTATTTAGGTAAACATGTAACCACTGAAATTTTCAGCAGTTATGCATTTACACGCAGGGGGAAGGTGGCCACCTGCCTCTCACCCCCTCTTCCCTATGCTGTTGCCTTTGTATCAAAGAGGCAGCAATGTGGGGTAGGGGTAAGGAGGCGGGTGAGGCACCTCACTGGGAACCAGCTTAAAAGCCAGCACCCCACAAACACCAGCTCCCACCTGCTCCCCTCCTCCCATGCTGCTTCCTCTGATACAGGCACCAGCTTAAAAGCCGGCTCCCCTGCGCATACCAGCTCTCACAGAGACACCTGTCCCCTCACCCCGCACACTGCAGCCTTTGTATCAAACACCCAGATGTTTTTCAAATTTTAGTTAAAGATGAGTAGCTATATTTAGAAAAATATAGGCCTAGAAGGGCAAGTGAATTCTCACAAAGAACAATGAGGAATCCTGTGACACCTTAAAGACTAACAGATTTATTTAAGATTTTAGTGCTTTGTGTTCTGGGAATTAAAACTCCAGATTTATGCTCATAAAGAGGTTAAATGCCTTGTTGATGTACTGATACTGTTAACTTCATAACTGGAATTATAGAACAGCTTCCAGACAGACGGCGTTCCATTAATTCTTCTACAAAAGGGTATAGCCAACTCCAGGAGTGGAATTTGACCTCTCTCTCCTTGGCACTGGAAAACATAGTATTAACATTCTCTCCAAAGAAATTTTCACCATCACACAGCAGGTTCCAAGTAGACTTTCAAAAGGAGTTACATGTCTGTAGGCATCTATCATTGATCTCACATTCATACAAGACTGTAGGAAGCATGCATCTGCTGTTCTGCTGTCAAAGCCTCACAGATGAGGATATTTATGTTCACGATTCTCCCAAGGAATATTTACTGCAGTTGGTTTTCTGCCAGAGCTCAAATCAGTATTTGCTCAAGCAAGCCAGATCCATCCTGACAAAGAAAAATTGGAAAACTTTCCAGTGACAGGCACCTTACTGCTTAATATCACATTTTGGGACAATTATCTGTTATTCTCTCCCTTAACCAGATTTGCTTATACCACCAGCTTCAAAAGAGAAGCAGAAGGAAAAGTAGTTGCAGCCCCTGATGTAAGGTACTTCTGTGAGATCATTTCAGAGGTTGGCACGTGTCTGCCAATTGGGCTTTGATATCTTTGTAATGATCATACAATTCATACCAAGGTTACACAATCATATAAAGACTGGAGGGAACAGCAAGAACTGGAATGCCACACACAGGTAATTTAACAGCTTTAAAATAAGAGAGTTATGGGATGTTCCCCCATGAAACCGAAATATAGTAGAGTGCCATGCCCTTCCACTGTATCTTATACTTTTTAGAGAACAGTTTTCAGCTTGCGAACTGATCTTTCACATTAAAAAATGCCTTCGTTATAATTTTAGACAGAGTGCTTTTCTTGTGTAATTGGCCTACTGGCAGATATTACAATATTATCTCCTAGTAGTAAAATAGAATACAATTTAATGTACTAACGCGAATGCAGTATTTTCTCAGTTTTTTGTTTATAATTAGTTTGTGATTGAGACTCTCACAAAAAAAGAGCTTTTCTGTAAGACCCAAAATCCTGCTAACAATTACACGAATGCAAAAACTTTACCACCAGAACTAGTTCAATTGAAATCAACGCAGTAACTCATAACAGTAAAGTTAAGCACAGAAGTACTTGTAGGATTGGAGCCTAAACAAGTACTATTAAAATACAATACCTCATTTTTTAAACAATGAAAGAAAAAGTATTTAAAAAATACCACAGACTTAACTTTTCTCAATTGTATGCAGTCATCACTATTACACTGTTTGAAGATACATACCTACACATCTGCAAAGCCTATGAGTAAGTTAGTTCCATATACATTGAGCATAGTATACAGAAGTACTGAAATACTGCCCCACAGCAAAGTACTGTAGAATCCTTCATACCTGTGTGAATTCTGATATGCTCTATAAGCCGTGCTGTTCCTTTGCTGGCATAGTTGCAATATCGACACTTCAGCTTTCCATCAAATGTCCTTTCAAACCCATCCACTAACATTCCTGAGTTTTCATCCAGTGAAACTTCAACAGAAGGATGATCTAGTCCATTCTGATCACCATCTGCCCCAGCTATAAACAGTAAATGCAGTAGAGATTCTGACTGAGAATCACTGGGTTGTTGCATTTTGTCAGCGTGAGACTAATCCAAACCTGTTAGCTCCTTACTTCCTTACATTGCCCCCCCACCCACAAATAAACTAATAAGAAATACGTTTTGTGAAAGATATATTTAAAGACTTCCCCCAGAAGGTTCTACAGATTTACAGACTAGTTAAGTAGCCTTCAGAATAATCATGTTGAAATGCAAACATCACCACAACCATTCCCCGCCAAAATTAGAATACTTGACAGCATTGAAGACAGCCTACCTCCCTGAAGGGTATCTGCTTCTTTGTCCCCACTGACAGATCCAGAAATCATATTAACATGGTGTGTTTGTTGAGTAAGATATTCCTGGAAATCTTTTACGAAGTCCAGAGGCTCTGGTTTCTTTTCACCCATATTCACGCTCTGAGTTTACAATAACTTGTGCCTAGAAAAAAAATATCAGTATCAGAGCACATTTCACTGAATTTGAAAAAGAATTCACATTTACAGAAATCATTTTAAATCAAGGATTACATCTCTATAGTCTTGTTCAATAAAAGCATATGGTCAAAGTAGAACGAACATGTATAGATAATCATAACATTGTTAATCTTTACCCCAGATCAATGCTATTTAGTTCTCAGCAACTTTATTATATAAATACTATTTGACTTATTACATTCTTTTATTAAATTTAAAATTTTAGTTGACTAGGCAGACATGAGAACAAAATTCAATCTAATCTTACCATTCAGTTCAGAAATATTTATTATATCATTTGTACAAAGCAGGGCTGTCAACACGCATTAATACCTGCAATTAACGCGTTAATCACAGGCATTTCCACGGCACTGCCCCTTTGAAACGCCAATAGGGGATCAGTTGGGGACTCCAGCCAATCCCAGGCTCCTGCAGCGTTGTCGATGCCCCTTAGAAATGCCACAGCAGTGGCATTTTCAAGGGGCAGTGCTGCATGGAGCTGAGTTTATCTGGGGACTCCAGCTGATCCCGGGCTCCCATGGTGCTGTCCCTTTGAAACGCTGTGGCGGCCTTTCAAAGGGGCAACCCAACACGGAGCCTGGGATCAGCTGGAGTCCCCAGATAAACCCAGCTCCATGAAGCACTGCCCCTTGGAAACCCCATTGCTGCTGCATTTCAAAGGGGCATCGACAGCGCTGCACTGCATGGGCTCCGTGTAGCGCTGCCCGTTTGAAATGCTGCTGCTGCGTTTCAAAGGGGCAGCTGAACTGAGCCTGGGGTCAGCTGAGGATTCTAGCTGATCCTGGGCTTCCACAGCGCTGCCCCTTTGAAACACCGCTGCAGCATTTCAAAGGGGCAGCACACGCGATTAATCGAGATTTAAATTTAATGTGCAATTAATCACTTGACAGCCCTAGTACAAAGGATTCGATTAAAAGAAAACATTTTTTGAAATGCCAGTTTTTAAATGCTGAGATATCAAATCTAAGGCTATGTCTAGACTACATCCCTCTTTCGAAAGAGGGATGTAAGTTAGGCAGATCGAAAGTGCAAATGAAGCGGGGATTTAAATATCCCATGCTATATTCGCATAATTGCGTCATAGTGTTCTTTCAAAAACGGGTATTTCTAAAGTGAAACTGCAGTCTAGATGCAGTTTCAGGAAAAACCCTTTTCTTGAGGAGTATGGGATCTTTTGAAAAAGGGCTTTTTTTTTTCCCTGAAAGAACCGGGTCTAGACTGCAGTTTCACTTTCGAAATACCCCTTTTCAAAAGAATGCTGTGATGCGATTATGCAAATGAAGTGTGGGATATTTAAATCTCCACTTCATTTGCACTTTCGATCTGCCTAATTTACATCCCTCCTTCAAAAGAGGGATGTAGTCTAGATATGCCCTTAGTGTACAAGGAAATCTACTATATATTTTAGAGAGTTTGTCTGTTTGATCTAGAACTCCTAAATGGTAAAAGCTAGGACCACCAAATTTGGTATGCAGTTTTCTCTTATCGTAACGTAAAGCGACTTAAGGGTATAGTTGTGCCAGAAAAACAAGATCTGCCTGGAATGGGATTGTTTCTCATAAAATCAAACAGAAATGAGACAATCACCAAATCAAGTACAGTCTTCAAATCTGACATAACTCAGCAAATGTTGAAAGAGACTAAACCAAGATGAGCCAAAAAAATTGGATGAACCTGGAACAGGATTTCTTCTCAATACATTTTACAGAAAAGAGATTAAACAGATATTTGGAGCAGCGCTCTGTCTTGGCACAGCTGAATCAATGCTTACTGGTTAAAAACTAGAAAACAAACTTATTGGAATCCAAATTGACTAGCCTTTGTTAAAAGCAAATGATAGGAGTTTATAGGGATGAAGAAAAAATACACTTGATGGAATTCCCATTTTAAAAGATTTACTAAAAATAACACTATTTTTGAAAAATATAATTATTTCAATAAACCATATAAGATTTCCTTTTATTAAAAAAAATGTACTGAATTAAGGACCTAAGCAAAGCCATTTAAATCTGCTAGTTTATTATAAAGAAAAGACTTTGTGACTAACAGACTTATAATGTTCTGTATCTTTGAATTATGTTCAGAAGCATGATTGCTCACAGACTTAAAGTTAGGCACATGGATAGTTATGATTAATGAAATAATGAATCATCACTATGCATCATGACACATTCAAGACTGTCAAGAACGTTAATTACCATCTACTAAGGCAAATTATATTTTGATTCATTCATGTTTTAAATCAGCAGTTGAGGGGAACCGATTTCAGAAGCTGAGAAACCTTTCAAGTGTCAAATTAGGTGTTCAACACATTTTTTATGCATATTTTGTTAGTGTTCTAAAATTGTGTAAGTTATAGAGGGAACTCATTCATTAAAAAATCAAATTACAAAACATAACATTTAATCTTAAATCAGTAAGATTTCAAAGTGGCATTGATATTACAGTACCATCACTTTCTCAAAGTTTCAAATAACTTATATACCATGTTTATGGAGACAAGAGTATTTTACTTTTATTTATATTTATATTTATACACACACACACACACACACACACACACACACACACACACACAGAGGGCTCGACAATCTATGCAATCTACTCGCCTGTGGTGAGTAGATTACATCCAGGAAGAGCCAGGTTCGGGCGATCTGCACATGTACACAACGCAGAACGCCGGACAACATGGCTGGCGAGCGGGGCTCGCTGCGGTTCGGTGAGCCCTGCTAATTACCATTAGCATGTATTCTGTTAACATAAATTAAATAGTCCAAGGGCTTGTCTAGTAAGATAACAATTTGTGACATATGAGAAAGACTTTCCCATGTATAATCTAAGCCTATTTTCAGTGAAGAATAATTCATCTAAGTATTAGAACTTCAAGATCTAAAACACTTGTCAGTGCCTTGACACCAGCCTTGCAGTAAAATAATGCAACATGGCTTATGCAATATATTTTAAAGATAGTAAATACTACTTGCCAACAACATGAATTGAATAAAATGACTCTACCAATCTACACATCTGTAAATTGGACATAAAAATTCTACTTACCTTAGTGGTTTTGTGAGACTAAAGAGAACTGATGATTTTACTGCCTTAACTAAAAACATTCATTTAATGTATATTAAAGTCTATATGTAAAAATACTTGAAAAGTATTGCTTGTGATACAGAGGCAGCAGCAGGAGGAGGGGGCTCCCCATGTCCCCCACCCTCATTATACATTTACTTGAATAAATACAATTTAACATCCCTAGTAGGAAATAGAGCTGGATGACACATATCACAACAGGAAAATCAGAGCTGCAGCCAGAGACAGGAACATAGCAGGAGATTTCTCCAGCTATTTTAAGCTACATTCTTTAGTTTTCCCTTGTGTTTCTGAGTTTTAAAAGTCTACATGAATTGTACCTGAATTGCAGTTGCCTGCTAAGTAGCAAACATACTCCAACCTGAACTCCCAATAGATCAGATAGAAAGCAAGGGAGCACTGCTGCCTCACTTTTCCTGAAAAAAAAAAAAAAAAAATAAAAAAATTAGCCTGTCCAACTTGATTTTCTAAATGATGCATCTACACTACCAAACTCATTAATTGCAACAAATAAAATTCATAGGAATAGTTTAATTGTTTTGTTACATGGACTACATTTCCAGAAGGACATCTTTCATGGATCTCCTCGACGCATCCCTCAAGCTATATAGAGGTTACAAATATTTCCTTCTGATGGCAACTAGTAGTGATCCGCAGAACAAGTTTTAGGGGAATCACTTTTTGCTGTCGGACAGGAAACTGAAAAAACACATTCTGCAATAGTATTGACTAACAGTGATGGGAAGAAGGCTTGCAAGGGCAGTGCTGCATAATTCTCAAATACAGCCACAGAATTTGAGTTTAATATTTTGCCAAGAACAGAGGAATTCGTGATCTTTCAATAAAAAAAAATTCACCGTTACATCATTTGTCACTTTCTCTTTTCCAATATCACCACTATCAGACTTTCCTAGAACTTTGGCTTGAAATAAGTTTAAGGTGGAAGATAAAATTCAAGTCTGAAAAAAGGCAGTTTCAGATATTTCAATTCCTGCAAGTTATTACAGCAATCATTAACATATATATTTTCAGTTAGCAAATCTTTTCATTTTACAGAAGTGACCAGAGTTTCATTAAATGATCTGCAAGTGTCCAGTACCAAATTCAAAGTCACTACTAGTCACTCACATAGTGCTTTGCATTTTCCAAGTGCTTCACTAACACTAGTTGACTGTAACAAAGTTGCTTAAACTACGAGGACCAATTCAACACATACCACTAGCTACTGGAATGCTGGTTTCCTGCAGATTGTCTTTTGAGAGATTTCGGTGTGAATCTTTCTTTCACAAGGATGCTTTGTGTTAAACAATATAGTATTAGTGCAGCATGTTACTGTCCTGTTAATCCCACTTATTATACATCAGTTAAATAACTTGCTACTGATCTAGTAATAGCATATTAGCTGGAAATTTTTTAGTGACAAGTCCCTGAAATGGGGAGGGTCTCATATCAATTTACTATAGTGATATCCAGCCCCTGTGGTCCTTGAGGGCAACTGTGTTAAGAAAATTTCTATTAAAATACAAATTGAAAAATCTGTTCTAGAAGTGCTTCTTAGAGAACGTAAAGTGCTTGAACAAAACCCACTTCAGAAATATAATAGTAGGCTCCACACCTCCCCAACTAAATCTCAGATTTCTTATGAGAGGTGAGAGCACTGTTACGTTGCTGTGCTTTCCCTGCTACAACTGCTCACAGCTTCCCCACTACGCAGAATCGCAGAAGAGAAGCTGCTCACGTTATCTCATTCTCTGTTTACCTGCCAAGCTGAGGGAGTCTCTGGGAGATCTTAACCTACAGAAATGCCCAGCAAAGAATGTCTCCTCATCCTCAACTGAGCAGTCAGAGAAGCAAAAGAGAAGTTGAAAACAAACCACCAACTATAGCTCCCTGATACTTTGTCAAAGTTCAGTTTAGAGCTTTGGGGTTGTTCTTACCTTACACAAGCTGTAACTGGACCCTTTGGGACCATAAGCCAGTTGAGGATTGCCAGCATGTAACATGATTCATC